AAGTTCCTGGAGAAAAGTCGACCCAGCGGATTCACGATCGCTGCAAAATTGAGTTGGCCCAAAAGCGACGTCCCTTTCAGCCAGTTCCACCTGTTTTCTGCCAAGATCCAGTCGATAACACCCAGAATACGGACTTTCTTGTCTTCCGGCAGAATCCTCAGGTTCCTCTCGGTGTCCCAGATGATTCCCAGGAATTCTAGCTTTCTTGTTGGGGTAGTAACCGACTTTTTTAGGTTTACTACCCAACCCAGATACCGTAAGCAATCTAGTATCCAACTGACATGATCTCGCAGGATTTGAGCATCCTGATGCACGATGAGGAAATCGTCCAAGTATACCAGCACTCTTATCCCAGACTGACGAAAAAGATCCGCCAACCAGTTGCTGATTCTTGAAAAGGCTAAAGGAGCTGTCGCCAGGCCGAATGGGAGGCACGTCATGTTGTAAACCCGACCCTTGTACACCAGACACAGGTATCTTCGATGACGTTCGGCAATTGGCACGTGAAAGTAAGCCTGTGAAATGTCCAATTTTACCATGTAGTCGTATCTTCGGAGAAAGCGAGGCACTTGACGCTGATTGACTAGACGAAATTTGTGAGGCTGGAGATATTGATTGAGCTGTTTTAAGTTGAAGATCTGTCTTACCGATCCCTCCGACTTTGGGACTAGGAACATGGGCGAAATAAACCCTCTTGACCATTGCGCTTTTTCCAACACCCCCGCTTTCAGAAGCTTCTTTATCTCCAGCGACATTTGCCGAGACTCTTTGGTCGCAAATCGTCTTATATTTTCCTTTGAGAACGGCACGGTGATCGGTTTTTCGACGAAGGGGATTTTGTAACCCGTTAACATTTCCAAGATGTAATCTGGAGCTCCCATTTTCTGCCAGCGGTTGACGAAGCTTTTTAGCTGACCTCCGTAGAACGGATAGTCACAATTTTCTGGGACGGTTACGATCTCTTCTAGAAGAGCTGGAACTTGAAGATGACTTTCTGGAATCCTTGGTGTTGGCGCTTGGCTTTCGAAAGGAGGGCGAACTGGAAGGCCTGTACGAGCTGCTTCTTTGGCCCCTAGATTGACTCGCGTTACTAGACAGGCGACTCTGCTGGGGCTTGGGGTTATGGTAATTCCCTCCTTTAGCAGTTTTTGGTGGAAAGTTTTGAGGCTTTTGGTAAAAAACTTTTTGAAAACCACCTCGTTGGTCGAAAAACTTCGATAAAGCCTCCTCGTCGAACAGGTGAGACTCAGAGGGGGGAATCTCAGCTAACTTGACCGCTACATGATGATCCTTGGGTTTAAACGATTTTCTTCTCCACTCAATCAGTTCTGCTCGCCTCGCACATGTGTAGTGGAGCAAATCATCCGAAATTTCTTTGAAGGCCGAGTCACCCAAAAAATTTTCCTTGATTTCGTTAAATACATCAGGATATTTCTGTGCAATCTTCTGCATTCCTTCAGTAAACTTTTGTCGTTGCTTCAACAGACCATGAGTGATCGTACCCGCCATTTCCTCTGCTCTCTCCAGCATTGAATTAGCAAAGGACTTGGGTGCCAGACTCTCCAACTGGCTATTCACTTTAAGGGCGTCGAATACCGGTGAAGCTTGAAGCTTCTTCTGGACATCCTTATATCTTATTCTATTCCAGTTCGGGGTACCCAGTTTCTGGCACTCCAAGCCCTGCGCTTTGATCGCTGAGTCAGGTGGCGGCACCGTCGGAGCACTCTCCTTGACCAGAGGAACCAGTGCCAAGGCTTCCAGGTTCACTGTTGGCTTCTCCTGGGTAGGCATTAAAGCTGGCGCCTCCCATCCCACTGGATCGACACTCACTTCCTGCTCTGACACGCTATCGTCATCAGAATCATCAGCACTGCCATCGCTCCACTCGTTTTCTGCGTTCTTGTTTTCAATTTTATCCAGCAGCACCTGGAACATGTTCTCCATCCGCTCTTCAACCATCGAAATCCTGGATCTTTTGGCCGGTTTGCCCTGCAGATCCGAACCTTTTCTTTTACCAGCGGAGTCATTAGAGGGATCATCTTCATCCTGCTCCTCTTCCGAAGAAAAATTCGTCGGCCTTAACAAGTATGCCGCTTGATTGCGGGAGACAAAGTACTCCTTCAAGTGTTTTAATGCGTGCAAAAACACTTCTGCTTGACTTGCTGAACCTTTAATCTTGTTAACTACTGCCGGTGGACTCATAATCAGGGCTCTGCAGAAGGCCCAGTTCAGCATTTCAACCTTGAAGTCTCGATATTGCTTCTCTGGAAGATCCTCGATTGAAGGATTGAAGGCTCTTGCAATCGCTATCGTAGGCAAAGCAAATCTTAATTTGTTGAGCACCTGAGGATCTAAATTGTCCCCAAAAATCTGCTCCTTGGAGAGGTTTACTACTTTCCAATTTCTCCAACCTTCTGGAAGCCACTCTTCTGCCGCAAGCTTCAGCCTGTCCAAGATCTTGTCTTGCTCTTCAGTCTCAGCTGACTCCTCTATCAATTCCTCCATGGTCACGAAAGCTGACTCTGGGACGTTCATCTGTAAATTAAAAGGAAATCCGATGTCAGAAGAGAGCTCCAACTTAAAACGCTTGAGATAGAATGTCTGCAAGCGGGCGTACTAGGAGTTTGTGTCATTGAACACCCTGAAACTGTGCTACACACAGAATCGCTCCTTTTTAGCATGCTTTACCAGGATTCACCGCTGGTATCAGCAACGCTCCGAGCCTGAAGGCTGCGGAGACACTCCTAGAGCCGAAAAGGCTGCTTAGCGGAGTTTTAATAGGCGGCTGCGCCTCAACCTGAGCAGTTGAGCCTTCGCCGAGCGAGCCGTTGCGGCTCCTCGAGTCTTTTCGTCTGCTGCTAGTTCGTCCCGAACTGCGCATACGCACCAGACTCAGGACATGGCCGCGTACTGAAAGTACCGAGCCGTTACGTCCGCGGCTGCGTGTCGCGAGCCGTGATAACCACTGCTGCGGCTGACGACCCGCAAAGGTAACCTAAAAAAACAAAACTAAAACGCAAAGCATTTATATCTTACCTTTATTTCTGGTTTACAAGCACGGGTAATTCTTTCTTGATTTAATTATTAATAATTTAATTATTAATAATTTATTTACTATTAAATAAGATTTTATAAATCTTCGAACGTTACAACAACGTTTGGGTACATACACACTACTCAATAAATAATAGCGTACTGACGACTCACGGACCTTGGCGGTACGTGCTACCCGGCACCATGGAAACCATAGTCGCGAGGGGGGAGATTTCCCCTTCTTGAGCCTCGATTGAGGCCTAAATTCGATAACTTTGGGTAAATATGCACGAAAGATAAGGTAGGTAATCTCCGATAGGTCAAGCCAAAGGCACAGAACTGAAATAACAACATTTGGGAAAATAATCGATTTAAATTAAAAAAAAAAAATCAATAAATAGCATAAAATTTTTTTTTTTACTTTT